TATGAACTCACAAGAAAGCGGTTTCCTACAAGATTCTTGTGATAAAAATACATGTAAAATATTTTACAAGATACTTGTCTGAAATGCCAAGAAACAAGAATCTTACACGAATACCCACAAGAACGTCAACCAGTGGTATCAAATAAGAGATATCTTCGTTTCTTTTCTATTCTGCACATGCATCGCATTTTTCTTTCATTTCTGACACAACAAAAAGAAACAGAACGAAAAAAGTTCGTTCTCTTGTGCGTTTGTGCACGGCAGTAAATTGCCATCTATATATGATTAGAAAAGAAATCTAAAGATATCTGAGAATATCTAAGAGCATACAAAAGCATATATATCTGAACAAAATCTGAAATATAGGGCTTTATTTCTTGCAAATCTTGCCTTTGGTATCTCTGGATGGTAGAAGTTGTCTAGAAATGACGATGATATTAATTTGAATAACGCACAAAATATATTATTTATAAAAGGGAGTAAACTTATTTGTGTAAAGTATGATTCCTCTTTTGTGTTACAATCTATGCTTTCGAAATCATTTTTTTCCATTAGTCACTGTCTTGATGCTTGATAAAACTGTCCTTCTGTTTCTTAGTCAAATCAGTTGTTGACAGATATATTCTATCATTATACCTTATGTTCATTAATATTACTTCATTTTCCTCCCAAACTTTCTCAGCAAAGAACACAATTTCACAGAAAAATGTTATATTCTGGTAAGAAATAAAGACAAAAAGCATGGCACAACTCTACAGTTAAGCTCTATTTATTCCAAGTTGCTAACTTACATCTTGCGCTTCTTCCAATAAAGCATCCATGGCTAACTGTATCTCCTCTTGTTCTTGAAATAGTATAAGTTGCTCGATATTGAATGTTGATTTTTTCTCATGTGTAATCGATGTTGAGGACGAGGATTCTTGTTGCTGAGATTGCGTTAAATCACGAACTTCTTTTTCTTGTATATCTCGTAACATTTGCTCTTCATATTCGTTTATCAGAGACATAGTCCTTTATCAGAGACGATTGTTGTTGATAGTGAGACACTAAGGGACGTTGTTATGGTATGGATGGAGATCGAACAACAGGTTGAACTAGATTTTGAATTATAGGTCTAATAGGAGTGGAGATCTATGTTGATGTCAAGCTGAATTATTCGCTCGATTGAAGTTCACTTTCCATTTCTGGTGTTTGAGATAAATAAAAACTTTCGACACTATAATTTAAATAATCTTCTTGATCATTCCGACGTTGAATGAATGTCAATTGTTGATTTACATGACTTCTTCAGCACTAGAAACATCGAAAAAATTCATTCATGGAATAGTTTAGAAACAATAACTTACATTCGAGCAGCTGATGTTAAAATACCACTGACACTTTAACACCACTTTGATTCGCGGACGATTTGTAATAATCAGATATTTCACCATATGGTCCAGATCGAAATTGTTCTACAATTTGTTTTAGTGCCATAATACCATGATACATTGAACAAACAATTTGTATTACAACTTAGGATACTCTTGAATTTTGTCGTGTTTTCTTTGAGTTGTCATTCTTTTTTTAAATCTAAAACAGACGAAAACATATTTTATATTCAATTTCAATTCAGATAAATGGGGGTCTGTCTTAGGCAAGTGGATCTGCTAGTTTTTCAAAGGATGCGCTTCATTCAACGTGGTTTGCAAGTGTTTCCATTTTTTGCTGGACTATCACAATTATTAGTTGAACTAAGAAATGAAATTGAACTGAATGAACAAGAACAACAACACATTATCGTAATATTAAGTGAGTAATTCATTTATCATAGCGATAATCTGTTGGACTATGACAACTTCTAAGACGTTCCTTTCAGCTTTTCTCCGCCATCCTGGCTGTAAACTAGTTCCATTAGTCATTATACTATTTCTGAATATTCTAGATTAACGATCTACCATATTACTATGCCGATGGAGTATTATATACGAACAGCATTAAGGGACTTTTTTCTTATTAAGCTGTTTTTGTAATTTAGTAGGAATAACGCTAGAAGCCTTCCAAGACCTATATCCACAGCTCTGGACAGAAAGCTAGCCTGCCGCAGTTCTTTCGCTCAATTACTTGAGCTCCCCATACACACTTCACTATCTACGTACAAGCTTTCCAGAAAGCCACGAGGACTAGCCGGAGAAGCTGTATTACATGCCATAAAGTAGTGCGTATGCTGTCAGACGGGTGATCGGAGGCACTACGACATAAGGAACTTGGCCAAAGTTATTCTAGGAAAGAAGTGTTTTTGTGCGAGTTTGTTCGAAAAATTCTCGAATCCATTCAGCGCCAAGGTTCGAGCACAGTACCTTTACCTTTGAAGTACGCGACGAATAAGATAACCATTAAGTCACGCCGTCTTCATCTAAACATCAACCACAGCGTGCAAGCTAGATGAAATCCCGAAAATAGAAACTTAAAAATAACCTAAAAAGAAACAAAAAGACGATTCATATATACTTTTTTCCCACGTCTATGACGGTATCTAAGGCAGTATTATAGTGAGAAAAATAAATATCATTGTTTTGTAACTATAATTATCATTTTAACAGCTCAAAAAATAATTTTTTAAAGTCATGTTACATTGGCAGCGTGCACGATAGTATAATGCTCGAAAATGCTGGTGTGCGACGGATACCGCTACACACCCGGCTTCGGAAATGCGTTTAAATTATAGAAAAACAACGAAATTTTCTTTCCTAGAAATCAGTCACATGTCTTTGATTTGTTTAACTGCTATTGTATAAACATGCAAGAAAACGGACTTTGTCGTCGTGTTTCTTCTTGTTGTATGAGAAATGAAAGAAAAATGCAAGACATGTACAGGATAGAAAAGAAAACAAGATATCTCTTATTTCATATGGCTCTAATCTTGATGGTGTTCTTCTTTTAGAACATACAAATTTGAATATATTCATAACCCAGGCTAACAAAAGACGAGTAAAAAGAGTAGTTCGTTTGAGCCCTAGGGCACCCGTCCAAGGTCTCAAATGGACTACTGGAGTCTCACATTTGGACGGGATGGCAGCGTCCGCGCCCCGCAAAAAAGGATGCATTAGGACGATAGTCTGGACGCCCGTCTTGTGCTGATAGCTGTTGCTTTTGCTGTAAAGTATCTCATCACGAAAGGACCCTTTCAAGATGGTCGTCTAGATGCTCAGCGTAGACGAGCGCCTAGCGATACGACAGGACGCCGTATCAGGTACATGAAAATAGACTACTGAAAGTCTCACTTTTGGACGGGATGATGGCATCCGGACGCCGTATAATTGTAGACGTATCTGGATGTCACATCTGGACGCCCCCGTCTCACGAACACAATTGCAATCCACAGAAGAAATCCATAGACAGAATCAGACGTCTATGGCATGGTCGCCATTTTCAATCTACTTATGAGAAGAGCTAATGTCTAATAAGAGAGTACCACATCTAATACTATTTCTACGAAAGCAAAAATAGTGTTCGCTCAAACATTAGCTTCTTCAAATATGAAGGATCACCTCGGATAGAATCTTTGGCATTGAATAAGAAGTATAATAGATTAACTAATCACTGTCTTTCTTAAAAACATTGAATATTTCACTCTTTGCAAAAAAGTAAAAACATGATGGCTAAATATTAAGTTGAGGCAAAGGGCAGCTGTTAGAAAAAAGATTCTTGACTGATATGAATATTACACAGGCAGAACTACTGTGATTATTGTAGTTCCGATGCACCGATAATTTTCAGTTAAAATATGCATAAGAAAAGAGAGCTCACTATTGGATCAGAATATGCAAATTATAAAAATCGAAGAGAGAGCCTATTCTTTCTAATCAGTTTTATTTATAAAAGAATAAAAAAGATAACAAAATTAACTGCTGTCTTATTTATCTAAATCGGTTCCTTCGAGACGACTAATCTACGTATCACATTCTAAAACTGTGTCTACAAGATAATCCAAAGAATTATTTAAATGAGAGTAGCACGGCTAGAATCCTTCCAGGACAATGAAAGGGATAAAACTTGGCTCGTTCATGGCTCATTAATGAATCATTGGCTGCCAATTAATTGGCCAGTTTTTGGTCATTAATGGTCATCTTTACAGCATTTTTATCCCATAAATGGTACCGTAATGGTTAATCGATCGTTTTTAGACCGTTTTTTTGCTAGGTAAAAATGATCATTTTATAATCAATCTGTAATGATCATTTATGTGTCATTTTCAGACACTAATGAGCCATTTTTAGATCATTAATTGGATAGTCGATAAACACTCGTTTTCAAAGATCACAAATATATCATTGTCACCTCATTCACATAAATTAGTTATTTTTACCTCATTCGAATGATATAATTACGGCCGTAAAATGATACTATCGACTGACTCAATTGTAGGAGTCATTTTACGCTCGTAATTACAACAATCGGACGACGTAAAAATGATCAAACATGAACAATTAATGACGTAAAAACAAGGTACTTATAGTCATTAAAAAGCAGCGCTGTTATCGTGAAATGTATTTCCTTATATTGATTTCTGCCGCAGGTTTGACACACTACATGAGTTTTATTGATCTGATTCATGATTTCATTTTTTATCCATGTTTGAATTTTCTACGCTAGTGCATGATCTTCTCTCTTATAAGATATTAATAGGCTAGATTTTAATTTGCTGAGTTAATAACGACTAATTTAGCGAAATCTAGTTAGAAAAAAGACTAAACATAGCTTCAATGTATCTATAGTTCAGATGAAAAAAAAATATCGATCAATCTAAAAAATAAACTTTAGGAGCGGCAGAGGTTTCATAACAGAGTCCGCCAGTAAAATATATTCTAAAACGATAGTCTTCTAAAAAAACGACTGTAATATACAAACATTTTCGTGCTTTCTAAAAAGTCGCTCATAGTTTTGGTATGACTTACATTACAGCTGATTCTGCGAAACCGAATTGATGGAGGTGAATATGATCGATGGATTTAAAATCTCTCTTAAGAACTTTACTAAAATAAACAAGGAAAAACAAATAAACAATTTCTTTATTTATTAACAGAGTATCTATACAGTGAAGAAAAACTAAAAATCCGAACAGTGCTCGCAAGTTTTTTGATCTCAAAAGGTCAATCATTCATAAAAAGCAAGTCCTTAAAGAGAAGAACCGTCTATCGCTTGTTTCTTGAGGTTGCTATGTTGTGTTCTCTTGTTTTATTACAGATTTCTATCAGTCAGCACTCATATAGTAACTGCATTCTGAAAAGAAAAGTATCCTACAATACTAAAAAAAGGGTATCGGCATTTGTTACCAATTTCTGTATCTTAGAACACCTTTTTTGGTTTTCTAGGTTATGTTTATGGGTATTCCTGATCCGACAGAACCAAAAACGGCTCATACGTGAAGGGCATTCCTAAAAGTGTTTTGTGGTTTGTCCTCCCTGCCCCGCCGGTGACAATAGATAAAAGGCAGTGTCAAAGTATAGCTGAAAGCAGTTCCTATATCTGTCAAAAATCTGACTACAAATTCAAAGGAAATACGCTCGGAAATGAGGGTATTTCTTTAACTTTAAAGTTAATTACTTAATTTTTAAAGTTGCTTATATGTGTTTTGCGTCTCATATGATATAGCGCTCCTTCTGGATTTGAAAAATTTACAATAAATTCGACTGGATCCGACAAAAGAAACATCTAGCGAAGAAAGCAGTTGGGCCGTCGCCATCTTTGGTGCGACCACAGGAAACGCAGAAAGAGCGTTTCTGAGGAGAATAAAAAGCATTTCATCGTGTCGACAAAAGAAAAATTAAAACAAATTCAATTGAAATAAAAAATTTGATCTCATAATGAAACTTATATAAATAGTACCATGCAAGAAGACGATACCTTACTCTCAATTTCAAAATGGCACACTATCCACTACCACCAGTTGACGATATGACGTTACGTGAATGGAACATGTGCACTTCGACGCTAGAGGACACAGTATCATTTTGTTAATCAGTTAAATTGATACCCTACCGGCCAACTGCACCATGTTCCAATGAACACAATAATTGGTATATGGGAAAATGTTCGAAAATCATTGATGGTAAGCACTGGTACTAAAAGTTTTCAGATGTTCTTCACACGTTTAATCGAACTTTTTAGGTTATCACTGGCGTTGTCGTGTGAAAGAATGTAGATTAACGCGTTCGATCCGTGATGGAACATTCTTTAGAAATACAACAAGTATTGGATTTAATGTTTTATTGGTCTCAAGGAATCGATACCCATGACTTCCTACGTCGACATTGCAAATTTGCGAGTGAGTCTACTATAGTTGACTGAAAAAATTTCCTTCCTGATATCTGCGCTGAACATTTTTTAAGGCATCCCGGGCTTATTGGTGGGGTTGGACATGTGGTTGAAATCGACGAAAGTGCATGGATAAAAAGAAAATACAATCGTGGACGCGTGGTAGGCAATCAATGGGTATTTGGTAGAATTGATCGTGACACGAGGGAATGTTTCGCTGTTACCGTCGATCGGCGTGATGCAAGAACTCTTCTGCCGGTCGTACAACAATACGTTTTATCAGGTATATTATCTTATATGTATTCTCTACCCATGATAACATTCAATACTTTTCAGGTACTGTAGTATACAGCGATGAATGGAAGGCATACAACACATTGAATAGAAATGACAACAATTATGAGCGCCAAACCGTCAACCACTCCTTGCATTTCGCGACCCAACCACCCACGTCCACACCCAAAATATCGAGAATCTCTGGATGTGTGCAAAACGAAAAAAGAAGAGCATGATGGGTATGTCTACAACTCTTTTTCAAACATATCTGACAGAATTTATGTGGCGGCGAAGATTTGGCGATCGACCGCTTGACAACTTGATAAAACAAATTAATGAACTATATCCTTTCGAACTTTAACACTTTTGGTTTCTTGTTTTTTCTTATTATTCTTATTCTGTTGTCCTTCATTTTTTTTCAATTTTCCTTTATTGTTTTTCTGTATTTATTTTTCTATCTCGTTTATTCTCTTGTATGTATTTACTTTTTCTTCTTCATACTTGATCTACATTTTTTTGTATATATTTTTCGGGCAGTTACCGGTATCTATCACTGTATTCTGACAGCTATAGTCATCTCTTATTGTTATTAAGAATAAGTTATATTTTTAACCAATCATAAAATCAGGTTTTTTTTCCTGTTCTGTTATATATACACACTACGTAATGGTACGAGGGCTGATGACTAAGTGCATCCACTATAGTGTCACTAAAACATATAGGATATTCAAAATTCGAACTGAAATTCATTGGATGAAAATTTTAGATTTAAATTAGCTTCAAATAACATTTCATTTCCCCATATTTTTTTGTTATGCTCAAGCGCAGCAACTGAGATCTCCGATGAGGGCGCCGCAGAATGAATCTCCAGCACAGTCTGTTAGTGGCGCCCTCATCGGAAATTTCAGTAGCTACGCTTGAGCATAACAAAAAAATATGGGGAAATGAAATGTTATTTGAAGCTAATTTAAATCTAAAATTTTCATCCAATGAATTTCAGTTCGAATTTTGAATATCCTATATGTTTTAGT